CTGTCTGGTAGAAAGGGAGACCAAATTAAAAATTAAGTGTTAGAAAATGAAGCATGTTATGGTTACTGTGTACATGGACTGTGTACCCATTTGTACTATTATGGTGTCCTTGTGTGTGGGAAGTCATAAAAACCCATAGCTTTGGATCCGGGAGTAAGCAGCTCAATAGTGAAGGGCTGGCTGGTTGCCTGGGAGGGCAGGTCCCCTGGTGGGGCAGGGCTGAGCAGGAAGCTCTTGGTGCATGAACCAGCTTGTGCTGAGGAGCCCTTTGATCTTCACACAACAAGGGAAGCCACCAAGAAATCGGGTGCTCTATTCTAAAAACTGGAGAGACCTTAGAAAGAAGGATCAGTATGGATTCCCATCCACCAGTTTCTTGAGGCCTTTATAGTCCCCCATGGAAGAATGTCGTCATTCCCTTGGACTCCAAAAGAGAGAATGCTGGCAAAGGAGAGCTGGGGGAAAGCCTATGGAAGATTGTATCTAGTGGGAGGTGTGGAGTCACTATTGGTCAGCAGGGGTGAGGGAGAAAAACCAGTCACAGTAAGGGAGAGGAGGGCAGGGTAGAACCTGCAGACACCTCTGCAAATTGTCTCTTACTTCTTCTAACCATGCTAACCTTGTAATGGCTCCTGCATCACTTCTGTCTGAATTCTGTGCAGAGATCCCTTTTGGGATCTAATCTAGAATATGACTAAGAAGAGGATTCTGGAAAGCATGGTTCCAGATTAGCCAGATTGCCACATAATAACCTTCCCTCCACTATCATAGAACCAACCCTCTTGGAAAGTTGAGAGCAGTGCCCTTAAAGACAGAATTTATATTTTAAAAAGATTACTCTGGTTGGTATGAGAAAAATGGACTGTAGGAACGAACTGTGTCAACAGGGAGGCCAGCTAGGAGGCTTATCTGGTAGGAGAGAAAAGTGACTTGAAGCAGAGAGAGCAGAGGAGAAGTTGACTGTTGGAATTGGGACATACTTTAAAAATGGAGCTAGCATCTTGACTGATTGAAAGCAGCAGTGTCAGGGATGGCACCAAAAAATCTTGGCCTGAGCTATGGGTGCAGCTGTTGGTGAAATAGGAAAGATAGGGGCTGGGGTTGTGGCTCAGCGGTGGAGCGCTTGCCTAGCACGTACAAGGTGCTGGGTTCTATCCTCAGGACCACATAAAAATAAATAAATAAAATAAAGGTATCGTGTCCACTACAACTAAAAAATGTTTTAAAAAAATGGGAGGGGCTGGGTTGTGGCTCAGCGGTAGAGCACTCATCTAGCATGTGCGAGACCTTGGGTTCAATCCTCAGCACCACATAAATAAAATAAAGATATTGTGTCCAACTACAACTAAAAAAATAAAAAAATATTTTAAAAAATGGGAAATATGGGGAGATAAATGGTTTTGGGGTCAGGAGAAATTAAAAATTTCTCTTTGGAAATACTGAGATGACAATGCCTGTTAGATACCAAGTAAAGATGTTGTGGATGAAGTTCTATCTACAGTACAGTTCTGGAGTTTGGGAAGGAAGCTGGGGGTGGGGTGCATTTGGGAGCCAATAGTATATAGATGTTATGGGTGTGTAGTGTGAGAGAGCTGGATAATAGAACATGGGCTTGGCTGTGTTGCCCAGAGAGGGATCATTGATGAAGAGTGGGTTCAAGTGCTAAGAGAATCCACCATTTAGAAGTTGGAAAGCAGAGGATGGTGTCCAAGAAGACATAGGAAATAAGAAGATCTAGGTTAGAGCTTTTACAGAGTAAGGAAGACTGCATTTATTTATTTATTTATTATATAACAATAGTAGAATGTATTACACTCATTATTACCCATTTACAGCACAATTTTTCATAACTGTATATAAAGTGTGTTCACGCCAAATTATGCCATTATGCATGCACTCTCTTTTTTGCATTATAATTCTTAATACACTTATATACCACAGTTTATTATTATCTCTGATTGTATATAAGATATATTGACATCAAATTCAAATCTTCATACATGTATTTTATATAAAGATGGGAGGAAGATTATTTCTAGATAAGGAAGACTGCTTCTTTAAGATAGGAAATAATACAGTATGTCTGTATTCTGACATACTGACCAGATAATAAAGAAGAAACTTAGAATGCTGGAAGGGGAATGCTTTTGGAGTAAAGTCATTAAGTAGTTGAGAAAGCATGAAAATGGCATGTTATTTTCCATTGTAAATTTACATTCCAGGGACCTTCTTCCTTTGTGTTTATACGGCATGGTCAGTGCTTATACAGCATCACTTAAGAGTATTTTGACCACTAGTAACAGAACACCTGACCCAAGCTTGCTTAAACAACTCATCAGATATGTGCAGTGAAAAGTCCATGGGGGGGGGGGGCTGTGGGAAGGGCTTTGTCTAGCAGTTTGGTGATGTCACCAAAGATTTAGCTTGTTATCATCACTCTGTGAGACTCTCAAACACGTCAGCTCCTTTAAAAGCTGGTCCCAAAATGACTGCTTAAGCTCTGGGGGCCCCATGTTTCTTCCCAGTGTTTATCAAAAAGGAGAGCGTCCCTCCATTCCCAGAAAGGCTCTGAGTCTCACTCTTCTTAGATATAGTCAGGTCGTGTGCCTAACCCATTTCTGCAGCCACAGAGAGGAAATGTGCTGATTGACAAAGCCAGAATCACCCAGATCCCAGGTGGAAAAGCAAGGGCTATGGGAAAGAATTAATATCCACGCAAAGCTGAATAAATGAATGAAATTCACTTTGTAACTGTAATGCACCTTCTTGGGAAATGCTTGGAAGAAAGGAATGTTAAATAGACATTTCCTAGAACAGGTAAGGAGGGCATTTGGGAATGAGTTTATCATTTGATGGATACAGATAATTGTTTATTTAATCGACAGTTATTTAGGTTACAGGCTATCAACCATAACTAAGCTAAAATATGGATTTCATGAATATTGGTTTCTTATATAAAAGCCAAATTTAGTCAGTAATCTAAGATGGAAAACTATCTCTTCAAAGCATGAATGTTTACTAACAATTAGGTTTATGAGGCATGTTACAGGCCAGGTAATGAAGTATACTTTGGCTCACCAGAGGGCAGTAGTTTCTGGATACAAGTATGGTTTTCTGCTCCAGTGCAAATTAATTGCACTGTTGGTTTTAGCAGCAGCTAAAAGGAGAGGTGTGGCAGCCAGAGGAGTGGTTAATGTTTGCAGTGTGGAAGCTCTCTGAGCCTCGTGGTTCAGCCTCATTCAGGTTTATAATGAATTCCTTCCCTGTGAACAGCCAGATACTCACCTCATTAGTACCCAGACCTGCTTTCAGCCTGCCAAAACTTTCTACAGTGGGATAATTCAAATTCCTTAGATTATGAAGCCTGGGAATTGCATAATGCTATAATTATTCCTGGCAGGGAAGTGCCTGGTTAGTTAGACACCCACTCCTGTAGCTTGCTGTACTATTGTGGGGCACACCGAGTTCTTTGTCCTGACCCATGTGAGCAGGAACTCAAGATAATGGTGCATGAACCTTCCTCTGAGGACATGAACCCATACCTGGGTCCTCTCTCTTGTTCACTCTGCTTCAGAGTGCAACAAAATGCTGCACCATTCAGCATAGGCAGCGACTGATAATGGTAAGCAAACCAAACTAACTAAATAAAAGGACTGCTGGTCTGTTTCCCTTAATTTCTCCCCCACAAAATGTCTTTTTCCCCTCCTTTCAGGCTACCATTTTTATGAGGACATCAGTTTCATTTTGCTTATTTTTCCTTTGGATATGATATTATATCCAACATTTCATACTTAGTTCTATTGACAGGCTTAGAGTTCTTTGGTACAAAGGAACAAAATGGATTTAAAATTTACTGACAGCTGAGCAAACTGAGTCTTCACATATTTTAATACTTTCTTTGTGTCTTTGTGAGACCACTTCCAGGTGGGTGTGCCATCTGGATATTTTTCCTAAATGACAGCAGCCAGCTTTCCGCAGCAGTAAGCGAAAGCAGTTTTGTGACTCAGGTAGGTGCCAAGAACATTATTTTCATCTCATTAGAATCTTATTTCTATAACATGAGTCTGCTGCATGTGAATGGAGCGCACTGTTTCACATTCTAGAGAGAAAGCCAGCTCGCTCAGCTGTGCATGTGCAGCCTCCCTAAAAGAGCAGTACACACGCAGACACTTCGCCTGCCAAGAGCGCTCAATCTAGAGAACTCATTCCACTTCTCTCCTTATTTTTTAGTTTCCTTTTACCTAATTTTCTTTTTTTTAATAGTTTTTTTTTTTTGGTGGTGGTTCCAGGGATTAAACTCGGGGGCACTCAACCACTGAGCCACATCCCCAACCCTATTTTGTATTTTATTTTGAAACAGGGTCTCACTGAGTTGTTTAATGGCTTGCCATTGCTGAGGCTGGCTTTGAACTTGCCATCCTTCAAGCCAGTTCAGGATCACAGGTGTGTGCCACTGTGCCCGGCTTACCTACTTTTCTTTTAACACAATGATCCAAATAATTTTTTCTCCTCTTTAATCTTCATCCACAACTCCAACTAATGCCCATGGGAAGGAATCTCTCTAAAGTCTGCTCTAGGCCGCATCATTTTCTTCTTTTCTTTTAGAGCTATATCCTATCCATTGTCACAAGCTTGTGGTGCCTCTCAGGAGGCAGAGCGTGGGCATATGAACACAAGTGACACAGCCAGTGCAGAGTATAAGTTTTAAGAGGTGACTAAAATCTTGAAGATGGGGCTGCCTGTCTCTACCAGTTTTTTGTTTTTACCTCTGCCCTGATCCAAATAGACTTTTCCTTTGTTTTGAGTCCTGCAATAAAGAGACACTATGGGAACCTATAGCCAACCTACAGTTACCAAAATATAGTACAAGTGAAAAATAAAGGTATGTTGTTAAAAGCCACTGAGATTTTTTTAGGGTAATTTTCTTATTGTAGCAGAGCTGACTAATGCAAATACCACATTGTAAATAATAAATGGAAGATATAATAAACACAATAGTCTCAATTTCCAATCACCTTTATTTCTATAAAAGTACATTAAATAAATTAACTCAATATATACAAATAGAACCTATATAAATAGAAAATCCCCATATACAAAACCTTTTTTAAAAAAAGTTATAAATATATACAGTGTTAACCACAGAAGTTTTAAGTACCTTAAATCATAAACTCTATGTAGTTTCTTTGTATAGTAGTCTTATAAAAATATAGTTAGCTGTCAAATGTCTAATTGACACCACGTAGTCAGTTAAAGTGCTAAACTGTAATGCATATTAGGAAAGTGTCCAACACAGATGTCTCCTGCATTTAACATATTAAAATAAGTTTGCCAATTGCTTTCAACTTCCCAAAGTACTCCAACCGAAGAAAACAAAAAAGAAAAAGAAAGGAACCTAAACACCATATTACAAAAGGACAGATGTATGTTAGAAAAGCCCACCCAATTTCCATCTTACTTTCCTATAGCATTTATAGTCAGCCTCTCAAAAAGCTCTCTACAAATTCACCGGGGATATTTTAAGGCATCTGTTCCTTTGTTTCTGCTAGGATGACCTAGTTTCTTCTTTAGTGTAGAATATACAATCTAAAGCATGATATGTGCAAAAGGTGCCATAGTGTTAAAATAAAAATGATTTGGAATTAGTTGTACCGTTCATTACATTCCAAAGTGACTAATGCTGATGTCAAAACCAGAATGTTAAGGTTTTGGGATCCAGCGGCCTTTGTGCTCCAAAGTACTCATTTGTGCTTCTGTATCTTCTATTGTCTTAAATGTTCTTGGTCACAGTGCAGTGTAGCAGTACCTCAGTCAGCAGTTCCAACAAGCCTTCTCTATGCAACATTTAGTGGTGAGTGCTCCTTCCCATTCTGCCCTCCTCTGGCCTTTCTGCACTTATACAGTGATAGAGACAGGATGATGATGATGATGATGACCACGAACACCACTGCTCCCACAATGAAGAACATTTCTGAAAAATAAAAAGAACCACATCAGTTTGGAGAGCTTCAATCCATTTACCAGTGGGTAGAACTGAGAGCATTACGCCAAGTTACACCAATCCTTTTTTTTTTTTTTTGCACCTCACTAAGATTAGCAAAGAATTTGTCAAATCTACATGTTTTTGAGGTTAAAAGTGTTAAATGGACCACTTGATAATGTTCACAGTCTAGAAAAGATACACGTAGTTGGAAGTAAGAACAGCTGTTGGAAACAAGTAGCTAAAAATGAAGCTGAGTTTGGTGGCATTGATTCCTGTGGATGATTCAGTCTCACAGAAGAGGGAGACTGAAGTGCTACCAGCCTGCAGGTGAACAGGAGAGGCAACTGGGTGATGTAGGTGGCCTTTGAAACACCTCCCAGGGGGCACATTTCAGCAGACAGAAGAGACAGGGGAAGCACAGATGTGGCTGTGCACAAAGGCAGAGGTGATAGAATTAGAGCAGGCTGTGGGTAGGATGGCCCAGAGGGGTTTGGTACCAAAGGGAAGGTGCCTTCTCTTGTCAACAGCAAAAATAGGAGAGAAACTTCACTCAAAAGTGTTTTTTACAATTTAAAACCTTATCTTATCAAGGAACTAGGTCACCATTATTGTCCTCTAACATTTGGGTCCCTGAAAATACTCAGAGCACTTCCCCTGGGCAGCCTAGAGAGAGAGAGAGACTCATAGGCTTTCCACCTCAGGCACCTGTCATATCTCCCAGAGCCACATATCTGGGCCCCAGCTATGTGCATGTGCACACATAGTGTGGTCCCTACTATGTGGCCCAACCTGGTACTCAGAAAGTCTATCAGGTATTGCTATAGTCGGTCCAGAAACCATTCCCTTAGGATCCAAAAGTCAGCAGAAAAAAAAAAAGAGAGAGCCCAAAGAAATCTATGACTTGATGCTAAATCCTAAACAAAATCTATGTACCTAGTGTTCCACAGAGTTTGGCATGTGGTACGTGTTCAGGGAAATACTTGCTAATACAAGGGAACCACACAGAATCACTTCTAAATGTCCCAAAGCCTGAGAGAACCTAAAACAAACCCTCAAACAGCCAAGGTGGTTACTCTCTGAATGTTCAACAAAAGAAGTCCATCTTGACCCCGAGGTGGGGGCGTCCAAGCCTCCTGGACAAATGGCAGGCAGGGCCACTCACCTTTGAAGACACTTTTCTCTTGGCTCGTACACTCGATAAGGCTTTCTGGACTCTTCTGGTTAGTAGTTCGATATGGGATCACAGCTTGAACACTGAAACAGTAGTCTGTTCCTTTATCCACATCAATCAAAAACTCATTAGTGTCTGTTTTGGCTGTTTTCTGTGAAAAGATGAAAGGGCTCTTAATTCCTCCAGGCTCAAGAGTGAATTCTTTCCCTTTTATTAAGTCACTGTGGAAGTAAAAACCTGGGCTCTAAGCAAAGCCCATGTGGACAGAGCTGACATAGGAAGGATTAGAAGTGACTTGGCTAACCAGTAATCCCTGATAACTACTAAGGATGACTTTTCCAAGACTAAGAAGATCCAATTTAGGCATCCAATCCAATGTAGCCCCTTTGAAAACTATCTACAGGAAAAGAAAGAAGGAAGGTTTAATTATTGAATAGAAAGTAAATTTGGGGGCTGGGGATATAGCTCAGGGGTAGTCCTTGCCTAGCATGTGTGAGGCCCTGGGTTTGATCTCTAGTCCAGGTTAAAATAAAAAAAGTACAGTAAATTTTGTTTCTGGGATCCTCAATAGAGGAAGAAATGTGACATGTAAGAGCTGATAGGACCCTTAGAGAAGATCTGGTCCAGTCCCTTGGCTGAGGATCCTAGGTTTCCAAGGTGGCTCTGCCTAAAGCGACAAATCAGCTCAGAATCACAGGTAGAACCAAGACCTGTTTTCCCTTCCCCATCTACTTTACCCACTATCCTTTCAACCACTCCTGTTCTGCTGTGTTTGAATTGGGGAAGAAGTGGGCTATAAAAATCAAGGATCCACAATTTAAAACAAGACATAAAAGCAAGTGAAAAATTCTCACCTTTCCTGTGCTTTCAGCTTTCCAATAATAAAGTATATAACTTAAGTCCTTGCCAAAGACATCCCGGAGGCTTAGGAATGTGTTATTCCTTCTGACTAATGTCCGTGCATCTTGTACTGTCACATTCAGTTTTGTCCCAACTTGTTCAAAACTCTGAATTGTTGGCTGTCCAAGTTTTGCTGAAATGTAGAACATGATCTTGGTTGAGACCAAATAAGTCTATACAAAGTAAACCTCATCTAGCTGTCACAGTTAACAGCTCTATTGTCTCATATAAAACACAGAATCAACTCCACAGGCATCAGCCGGCGTGGTGGCCCCAGAGCTGAATGCTAAGACATTCCCTGGCAGTGCTGCCCCGTGGGAATACAAAGGGTGCCTCAGAGGAATTTTTAAATTTCCTTATAGTCAGTCACATTAGAAAAAGTAAAATGAAACAGGTGAAGTTAATTTTAGTAACAGACGTTAGCACACTATACTTCCACTATTATCATTTTAAGATGTAGTTGACACAAAAACTTGTGAAATATTTTACATTTTTACAAATTCAGGGGTCTGGGGATGTGGCTCAAGTGGTAGCGCGCTCGCCTGGCATGCGTGCGGCCCGGGTTCGATCCTCAGCACCACATACAAACAAAGATGTTGTGTCCGCTGATAACTAAAAAATAAATATTAAAAAAATTAAAAAAAAAATTCAGTGTGTGTTTTATACTTCTGGCATTAGCCATACTTTAAGTGGTCATGGCTACCATACTGAAGAGTGTGCAGTTGTGAAAGTTCCCATAGTTTATGCACAAAAAGTTGGGGGGGGACTGTGGGAAGGCCTCAGAAATGTCCTTGGTATGTCAAGGAATCTGTTTTAACCTCTAGGTCCTTGCAATGGCTCATTTTTCTCATGTGCTTTAGCTGAATAACAGTAAAACACATCCCATTTAACATCCATTTCCTGCAAGTCACAGGGCAAAGTATGTGTGTGTGCATGTAAAAAATATTTTGTTTTTTTTTTTTTTTTTGGTATGGGGATCCAACCCAAGGACACTTAACCACTGAGCCACACCTCCAGCCCGCTTTGTTTATGTTTTATTTAGAGACAGGATCTTGCTAAGTTGGTTAGGGCCTTGCTAAGTTGCTGAGGCTGGTTTTGAACTCCCAATCCTTCTATCTCAGTCTCCTGAGCCGCTGGGATTACAGGCACGTGCCATCACACCTGGCTAATATTTTCTATCTTGTACTCACAAAGACTTGAATTGGATTACCAAGACTCAACAACTATAGGAGGAAATTATGAAAATGTCATCAACTAAGGGATAGTGAGTACCAATGATCCTGTAGTTATGGGAGGGGGCTTGGCTTTATCTATGCTTTAGCCTAGTGCCACAGAGATGCACAGCTATGGCACTGAGTTTGGAGACAGAGTCTTGCCAATAGGGGCCCTGGAAGGTGGCCACATTCATCTGGGGTAATGAGACTGGCAAAGTGGATACAGAAGGAAAAGATTGGTTGATTGTCTCTCTAACCCTTCTTCTCACTATCCCTACCTGGAGCACCCTTCACCATCACAGGGTAGCCAGAGGGGTATATATGAAAACACCAATAATATACACTTTCATTCTAACCAGCAAGCTTTAAAAGAAAAGCTGATTTCACTCTTCTTAATATGGTACACATGTTTATTTAAAATGCCTAGCTCAGAACCATAGTTGTGATAAAAAATATTTGATTCTGCTACTTGGCAGGAATTCTCTGCATTCCCTCCTTAGATCCCAGGGTTGGCTTACTAGAGGAAGACAGACAGGCAAGCATCCCACATTTTCAAAACCAGCATGAGGGAGGCAGGGTGAGAGCCACCTCTAGTAAGTGCAAGATCAATGACACAGGCCAAGAGCTGGCATATCATGGGACTCAAGTTCAAACGATTGAAATAGGTCAGCACAGGCTCAAAGGGAAACTGTGGTTTCTTCATGAATTAGTGACCATTTGGGGAATTTCCTAAACTGGGATTTCTGGTCTGATGATAGGACAGATGGGGTGTGATATGTATGGTGGGGAAAGCTGAAAGTCACCCACGGCCACATATGTTCAGCTGGTTGCTTGTAGGTCAAGTGGGAAGGATATCTAGACAGTCAGAACAACAAGAATAAATGTATTACAAACTGAGCTACTTACTTTCCAGGTAAGGTATAAACTTGGGGGCATTTTGAAGGACAGGGTCCCTGGCAGAACCAGTGGTATCTAAGTCCCGTGGCAGGAGGGAAAGGACCCTTGCAGAATATGTCTGCTGCACATCCTGCACAATCTCATCAGTGAGGTCACATTCTGTGTCTGTCGTGTAGAAGCATTTGCCCTTCCAATCCCCTGTTCCAGCACTAGAGGAAGGAAGGAAGAAAAAGAAATGGAATGTAACAAGCTGCATACAACAAGACAGCTGGCTTTCACTGTGGCGTTCTGTGCTAATGACAAGAGCATCCATAACCAGTCCTTCAGAGGCTTATGACTGCCTGCAGCACCCCGAGTGGCTGACTTTCAGAGAAGGCAACTGAGAGAGGGAGACTGGGTGACTTGCTCAGAACCACACCTGCACTTGGAACCACTCAGCTATTTGACTCCTGAGTCTGTGTTCTGAACCATGTTGTTAAATATCTCTTAAAGTGGACATGCTCTGTTGTAGTTACTTGGGAGAAAGTTTTGGAAGATTTCCCCTCAACTTTTCATTATAGTCTACTTTCTATACATTACATTCTGTTAATTACATCATATTCTACATTCTATGTAGAACATAGTCTGTAAGGTAATAATTCATCTATTAATATATTCTGTATCATTCTATTCTATTACCATCAGTATTTGTGTGGTTAATAATCATTTATTGGGACGGGATTGTAGCTCAGTGGTAGAGGGCTTGACAACCATGCGTGAGGCACTGGGTTAGATCCCCTGCACCGTGTCCTGTCTGCTGTATGCCCAATACTATACTGGGCCTTTTACACATGTTACTTCATTTGATCTACTCCTTCTAAGAAAGTACTGGATTTTTTTTTTTTAACATATGGGAACATGGAAGATTAGAGACACTAATTTTCCAAAGTCACATGGCTAAAGAGTGGCAGAGCTGTTGGGTCTGTTGATCTCATTATACTATATGCTAGATGTAAATACAAGATGTGAACACATCTTATCAAAAATTACAAGATAACAATACAGTTAGTATCTACCTAGTAAAGTCTTAAGACTACGAGGCTAAAAGATCATTCTTTGTAAGATACCATTGAAGGGGAAATGATTTAAAGAACTTACTAAAAATGAAATTCTTCTAAAGGACCCAAACAACCACAGGTTAACAATCACTGCATCCTGATCCACACATTCCCATCCCAGGTGAAGCGATAGAAGTCACTGCTCTGCCCTTTATTCTGCCAGAGTCTGACCCATTATTTGAGGACAAGCTCCTAATCCCCTTCCTCCAGGAATCTCCAAATTGAACACTGTGCTCAGCATCAATCTTTCCCTTCCTTGTCCCCTGGCACCATACTGCCACTCATGCACTTAATATGGCACCGTCTCTTTGTACTTGGCTCTTGTGTTCTTTCCCAAGCTGCAGGGCTTGGGGGCTTTTCTGTGAATAGCATGGTCTACCTTTACAGGTTGAATTAATAAATCATTAGGGGCATATGGATTCAACTGTCTAAATCCATGCATAAGAGCCATAAATGTGTATTCTTTAAAACTTGGAATTAAATGACCAATTCTAAAAGAATTCGGGTGAGCACATTTTTTTTTATCTTAAAATTCACAAACTAAGGTTGATACAGGAATGTTTTTTATTTTTAAAAATTTTCTGTGATAAGCATAGGCTATTTGTTTCAGAATGACCCAAATGAATTTTCATCCTCTTTGGAAGAGTGCATGGGAATGTGGTGATTCCTCTCCACTGCTAAGGCAAACAAGCCATTCAGCTAGCTGAACTCTGCAGTGACATACTGTCTGAGAGACGCAGTGTTTAGTTGCTCCCAACTCATAATCAGGGACCATATGCTCTTTGGCAAAATTTAGCACAAAGGCCTATATCACAGTTAAGTAGTGAAATCCTGTCAATGTGTAATGAAGGGGCAGTTCTCTAGAAGGGGCCTTGAATACCATAAACAGCATTAGCACCTTAAGAGCCTTTGAGGTTCCTCTAGGTATTGCACAATCCCCAGATGTGGAAATAACCAAAGCCCCTCCTGAATTAATACAAATTCCAACAGAATACAGGCCATCACTGAGTTGCACGTTGTTTTCAGGAAGTTTTTAAACTCAGTTTTAGTATTCAGAACATCCCCATGGAATCAGTATTACAGGAGATGGTCTGGTGCAGAGGCCTGAGCCAGTGACAATTCCCACCCACCACTGAAACCTGCTTCTAAAGGGGAAAATGCAGCTGGAGCTCTGCATAGGGACTTTAGGGGGACAGTGCTGCCCTTCGATAGAGCCAGACTTCAGGGTGAGGGCAGTGGGCATGGAAGGGTGGCTAAAGATAAGATGCTTCCTAAAGGGAGGAAAATGGGAGGGAAGGGAAGCCCACCAAGGAGATATGCTGGGCCAGGCCTTCCCTCTTCCTCCTAGTTTTGTGGCCACACTTAAGACTGGAAGAGCCCCCAGTCCAGGGTCTCAGGAAACTGGAATTCCAGGCCCGAGAGGGCATCCCACCCACCAGCATAGGCATCACAGATCCTTCACCTTTCAGAGTAACAGTATTCTGATCTGGACTATAACTGCTGTGATCCTCTCAGCCTAGGAATCCAGTTTGCTCGTGGGGAGGTGAAAGAAGCACTCAGATCTCAGGCTGTGGCTGATGGAAATGCTCCGAGGCCCTCCAGCATGGGGGAGATAGACCATGAGGAGATAGACCTGCTGGCAGGGCCAACTTCCCCATACCTGAGATCTGATGTAGGCAGGTCAGGGGTCATGCTCATTTAAATAATGGCAGCTTTTAAAAGTCCAAGAACTTAAGAGTTGACTAAGGCTAATGTTTCAAATTCAAGTAAATCATAAATATATTTTCACATGTTGCTCAAATATAAGATAGAATATATTTAGCATTCTTCCCAAAATGTAATTTTTGTCATCCAGAAGAAAAGAGTTTACTAAGGTCTACTTAAGGTCTGTATCAAAGAAAGTAGAAGCTGATTTGACAAGTTTGACTATAAACTTGGGTTACAAAATTGCTCTCTCTCACTATGTATGGAGCACATAGATACATGCATTCATGCATGAATGCAAATTATCTTCCCTAATGATTTGGCAATAGTTGTCATAGAGTTCATTTTGAAAAACAACAATGTCCACCTAAAAGACCCACCCTGTTCCTAGGAGCTGCATCTTAATGCTATAAAAGTCTGACACAAGTCGACAAAATAACAAAACTGTAAAACACTTTTAATTTTTGCCAGTGATACATTTGTTTCTTTATACAAATAGTGTTAAAAATAATTTCCATAGCAGCTGTCCTCTATTTCTTAAAATCTCTACCAAGCCTCCCATGACATTTTAGCAAAAGCTTGCCCAGGATATGGTGAAAACCATCAAGGAAAACATGTGGCACACCCTAGACATTTAAATCAAATATGCTTAGTCTGGCTCCTGGGGAGAGCCTTCAATTAAAGATGAGGCTTGAATGAGCCAAGGAGCCCCAGACAGCTGAAGGTGTAGACAATGAAGTCCTTTAGCAGTATTTCTGTGCAGCTCAGTGAGTCAAGAATTTGGCTTCCTTTGAGATCATGTATGCAACCAAATTTCGATTCAGAGTCCAAAGATTAATGAATCAACCACTGCTTAAGGGCAATGTATACATTGGAATTGGAATTCCTCCCCACCTTTTCCCTAACAAGTTGGATGAAGCTTAGTCTAGACAGCAAAGCAAAAAGACATCTATGTTTAGATGAGATTAGTTATCACTGATATTAAAGCACAGGATCAGCACCTGCTCAGGATGGTTCACCTCTCTACAGTTTATACTCTGCTTATGAATTTTTTCATCATTTCCAAAAACAATGAAAACATTATGTAAGTTTAAGGTCCAGAAATGTTGAGGCTTGAAAGAGCATGACATTGGCCAGCAAATTATCATGTATGCCCTCTTTTTTGTCATCCCTAAATAACCGCATCCAGTCTAAAGTCAGCATTTATATTCAGAGCAGAAACATCAAAAATCTTAATTAAAATCTTAATCTCTCTCTTTGGACCTAACTTACCTTATCTGAACAGTGTAGACATAATTGACGGGTTTGGGTTCCCACTCCAAAATTGTCTTGAAATTAGTTGATTTCCAAGTTAAATTATATGCTCTAACTGGAGTGCCTTCAAACAACAGAGAAAGAGCTATTATTACACGTACCTCTCAGTCCGTAACTTTGTGCTAACAGTATAAAACATCTTCTCAGCCTCCCATCACCATAAACTTTACATTTTTGTTTCAACTGCAAAAGTTTTGCTATTGAATTATTAAGAGGGGAGAAAAAACACTTTTCAAATTTTCTCTAGACCCAGAATTTCCTCTTGGCAAGATCCACCTTTCTATGGAAATAGGCAAGGATCTTGAATTCCTCATTTGGAATTATTCAGAAAGCCCTGTCATAACTTGACCTGGAAGCACAGCCCAGGAGCCACGGAGAAATGCACAACTCAGGGTCAACTCACCACAGAAGGATAGCTAGGAAGAATTTTCAGTGAGTTAGGAAAAGGGTAGATCCCACATGTGTAAGAGTTAGGAATGCATACAAATGAAAAAAAGTCAAACTTGACCTTTTCCATTTTATCCAAAACGTCTCTAACCTGAAACTTTCACTGAGATCAAGATGGACATGGTGGCCGGTCTGTTGGATGTATTCTATTAGGATGCTTTATTAAGGTCTTCTCTGCTGATACTCTAAAGGAGGAAATCTCTGCCCAGCCCCAACAGGCATGGGATAGGCACACTGTCATGCCTAATCCAATCCTAGCGACACTGTACAGCAAGATTGCTTCTATCCAATTTTAAAACAAAGACCACATAAGAAAGACCAGGGGTGCTCTTTATTAAGGGAAGATGAACACACATTGAAAGATAATATTTAAATCATTCTTTGCGTGTCAACCTGTGCGGATACGGACCACGTCTCAACACAGTCAAGGTCGCAACTCATTAGGAAGCTTTTTACTCAAAATTAAAGCGGGATACCCCAAATCCGCTTATATAAATAATGGACACACCAAGCTAAGCATCTCTAATGTAAGGCGAAGACGGGACTGGGACACTTATAACCATTCCGCAACTCTCGCCCGTGCGCCTCGCCGCACGGGTTCATTCAAACCCGGCGAGGTGAGCCCTGCGGAGCTCCGCGGGAGTCGAGGTGGGAGGCACCCTGCGGCGCCGCGGGAACCCAGGCAGCGCGCTCCCAGGACTGACCCTTCTCTCCCGCGGGTGGCGCGCCTCCCGCTTTCTTGACCGGATGCCACTCACCTGTAGCACCCGCCACCTGGGCAAGGACCCAGCCGAGCAGAAGCGTCCATGTGAACAATGTCTCTAGGCGCGGGAGCCTGAGCCAGGCAGGGCTCGCCATGTCCTCCAGCGGGCTGCGAGGTCGGGAGGACTCCAAGGCGCCTCGGAGGCTGGAGAGGCTGGGCTGCAGGCGCTGTGGGGTGAACAGAAGGAGCAAAGGGGGTACGGGGAACACTGAGTCTGCCCCAGCTCGTGAGGGGTGCTCTATAAAGAGGCGCGCGGCCCGGGCTCCCCGCCCCCGCCGCTCTTTCCCGACTCCCCGCCCCGCGCCCAGGTCACTGGCCGCCGCAGTGGGCGGCCCCTGGCGAATCCACACCCCTGCCCCGCCTTCTCCCCTGTAGGAAACTCCGGGACCCTGCAAGGAATGACTCACCCGTGATTCAATTGCGCCGGCGAGCGCCAAAATGCCTTTTGGCGGAGGCGGGTCCAGGTGCTGAGAGAACCCGGGCTCCGGGCATCCCGCGTCTCCCAGTCTTCGGTCCGGGTGGCCCGCAGGTCTATGGGGGGTGGGGAAAGGCGCGTTGGAAAAGAGTTCTTGAGTTAGAGGGAAGGGATTCTTGCCTTCCATTTGGCGATCGTGTCGTCTGTGCTGGTGGAAGCGGAAGCGTTTGCAACATTTCGTAGAAAGTAAGGGGTCAGGACTCAGCTAGGGTAGAGAGGGCATTTCCCGCGACCTTGCGTATGCGAGACTGAGGCTTTGCTCGTGCTGCAAAGTAACTGCGCGGTGGGGCTTGTCATGAGCAAGTCCCATCCTCAGCGACAATCTCCTCGTTTTCCTGAGGAGCAAGGACCTCTGGCCTGCCTGGCAAACAGGCCTTTTAGGATCGCATTATATAAGGGTGATGAAAATGCACATGTTTGCTGTGGATATAAACGGCCCTCAGCCCTCAGGTCCGAAGGCCAGTTGTCCCAGACGCCATGGAGTCCAACTCGGATAGTGAAATGAGGACGAGCAGCCTCAAATCTGGCAGTTTGCCTCTGGGAGAATTTCAGTGTGACATCTGCAGCCCTGTGGTTCCAGAAAAGATGGTTCTCACGTTGAAGAAGACATCTGTGGGATTGAGTGAGTTCCTTCCAAGTGTAGGGAAACCAAAAATAAAATTGAAAAATATGATCCGACTTTCAGGCTACTTGTTTTCCCCCACCCGCACCCGCTTTTGTTTGTTTATTTGTTTGTTTGTTGTTAAACTCCCCTGAGACTGGGTATTGAACTCAGGGCCTTGCACATACTAAACTCACACTCTGTCGCTGAGTCCTGTGCCACTAATTTTAAATTTTGTATTTTTTTTTCTGAATAATTTTCCTGTTTCCTCTTCTGGGCTTTGCTGTGAAATTGTCAGGCATAAGAACGTCAACTATTATCCTTTTCGTGTGGCATCGTACACTATCTCCCATCACTCCTTTATTTTTACTTTGTAGTTGCCTACAGATAGTATTGGAGATTCTTGGAGAGTGGAGTTTGTGAAGTCAGCTTTGCCTTTTAGTATATACTAGACACACATTTCCATATAAATCTGCTGAGGCATAGTATTAAAAATTCATTTTGAACAAAGTAAACCTTGCAAAATTTAAATTTTCTCCCCTTGCCTGAGTGGAGGGAACACACGCAGGCTTAGCATTTGCAGTCCTTCCTAGAAGCGGAGAACTGTGCTTACTGGTTTCCTCTTTGAGCTCTCCTCCAGCTCTAAAACCCACAAAATTTATATTTGCAAAACTAAGCCTGCAATACTCCTTTTTGCAGTCTCTGGCCAGAGTCATTTTCCCTACTGGGATCTTCAGACTCACCTGGATGGATTCTTTGCTCTCTAGAGTTAAAGGTCAAAAAAATTGTTACACTTAAACCAATTTTTCCAAGACCCAAGAAACTGTTCCTCCCCCTGCAGAGAAATTCCATTTGGAGTTACTGAATGTCCAGAAATCATATGAAAGAATTTTAAGCAATGTCAAGATCAAACATTTGATAATAAAAATATGTGACACAAAGTGCCATAAATATTGATGAATTAGATGGGAATATTTATTTGCATATCCATTGTCAGTCAGGGAAGAGAAGAATATTCAGGGTGTTTGAATAGATTTTTGAGTAAATCTGAAATATGGTTCTTTGCTGAAATTACTACTATTTTCAAGAAGAGGAGGAAGAAAACTGGTCATAGTAAGTCATATTTCAAAGCAAGGTTTTACTCAAGTTGGTGAGATTGTGGCCAGTGATTTCTAGAACAATTGTTGTTTGACACTATTAAAAGTACATTTCTACCTGGTCATGGTGGTGCACACCTCCAAATCCAGCTATTGGGGAGATTGAGGCAGAAAGATCTCAAGTTCAGGGGCATCCTGGGCAACTTGGAGAGACTATCTCAAAATTAAAAATAAAAGGGACTGGGGGTGTAGCTCAATGACCCTGGGCTTAATTCTCCAGTACTACAAAAGCAAACAAATGAAAGCACATTCCTGAAGTTTCACTATTGATATTTACTACACAGGAACAAATTTATTGTTCTACTTACTCCCTACCTTTACACAATTTTTAAAATTCCCTTCAGTAAAGGCAAGCTTTGATACATCTTGAAGGCTCTAAAAAGTGCCATAAGTTCCTAAGCTGTCATGACAATCATGCTGGCCTGGCCAGTCCTTTCTGATTAAATCTTAGAATGTAGAGGGGTGGAGAGGATCTCACAAACATTCTTTTCAAGATCCTGAGACTTGCTGACCTGAATGAACTTGCTTCTTAACAGAGCAACACAGATCTGATCTTCCCACTCTAGGGGCTTTCCTTCTATTATCATGCTTTCTTCTACTCCCACTGCATGCAAGTAAGATTGGATCACAAACTCCATTGACTGCATGATTGATTTATCCACCCATAGGTACTCAACAATGTTCTGCAGGTGGTGTGGAAAACACTTGCAGTGAAGCCAGGCACACTGGCACTTGCCTGTAATCCCAGCTACTCAGGAGGCTGAGGCAGGAGGACTGAAAGTTAAAAGACAGCACTTAGTAGCTCCATGAGGCCCTCAGCAACTTAATGAGACCCTGTCTCAAAAATTAAAAATAAATAAATAAATAAATAAAAAGGGCTGGGGATGTAGTTCAGTGGTAAAGCGCCTCTTCCCCTGAGTTCAAACTCTGGTACCAAAACAAACAAACAAACAAACCCCCAAAACGAAAAACTGAAGAAAGAAAGAAAAAACTTTGCAATTTTGGGAACTTGTTCTTAGCAGAAATATCCTGTCAGCTATTCCTTAACATACATCACATAGAAGGTTATAGTTCCCTTTGCATAACCAGTGATTAAATGTGGCAAAAATGTCTAGGGTGCTGTTTCAACCCTTCTTCTGTATTTTTATAATACTTGCTACTGATTTTACCAACTCATATTCATCAACTACTTTTCTTGATTTCAATTGTGCATTTGCTTGTCAGTCTTTCCCATTCTTATTCATTGGGGAAATAAGAACTGGGATTTTCTTTACATTGCCCAATCCTTTGCACAATTTTAAGCACATAGTAGGTGATTTTTTTCAACCAATGAAAGAAGGCTTTATGGAACCATGCATGCAGCCAAATATTTTCATTAGAATTCAAGAGACTAAATCTGTTACTGAACTTTTTCTGTTTAGGGACCAGACGGTGAGCAGTCCATAATGTTCAGATTGCTAAGAAAATGCAAATCCAAGAAAGGCAGCATTTGACAGCAAACTCTGTCTGAGCAGTGATTGACAATCCTTCCTGTGGCCAGTAAATCTAATCAGGAGGACTGTAGTTGAGAGCAGAAACAAATGCAAAGTTTGGGAACTGGTTACATTTTTTAAAAAGCTTTCCTTCTAGTGTGATTCAGAATATACTCAGTCATCCCCTATGTGATGATGCTGTTGCTGTTGATAACTTTCCTGCCTACAGAGGCTTCTTGGAATAAATTCCTCAAAATGTCTGTGTCCCCAAGAAAGGGATGGATTAAGATTTATGCAAGTGGGCAAACTTGAGAGTAATCTTTAAAAAACCTATTTTATATATATGGAATTGCAAAACGAGCAATGAAACTATTTCCCCCAAAATTCAGGTAAAAGGAAAAGTATGAAAAAAGGCCAGAGGGAATGAGGATTTAGTGGGAACATAGAGTTCTGGAAAAAAAAAAAAAGTGACTCAGCAGAACCTAACAAACATCTGGCAGGGCATAGTTAGTCATGGAAAAATTGGCAGTCATGATTATGCATTTTGTGAAAATAATTATGTACTGGTCTAACCGTTTACATTTAGACCAAAATTAAATAGTTGAAAGTCTGTACAATAAAAACAATTATCCTGATTATCCAGAGTCTCTGCTAGACCTTTGATGAGTAAAACTGAAAAGTCCTTTTCTTATTAACTATATCATCATTGCTTTTGCCAATATTTTAATGATTTTCTATCAGCATTTGCTTTGGATATAAAGCAATCTTATCAATGTTGTTTATTAGTAAATTTTGTTCCATGCCCCTACCCAAACAAAAAGATGTAGGTATATTATATTCAGTCAATCAAACAGGTATCTTTAACTCAGCAAATTGAAACACAAGTACTTCATCAGTTTGAATGTATTAATGACTCTAAGTTTTGCATATGCTCAACACTACTAACTCTAGGCTGGGGGTTGTAGCTCAATGATAGGCACGTGGGTTGGATTCTCAGCACCACATATAAATAAATGAATTAAATAAAGGTCTATCAACAACTAAAAAAAATTTTTTTTGAAGATACAACTCTATAAAAGTCTGGAAGAAAAATAACCAGGTATGAGATTTCTCAGGTCATGAAAATATTATTTAAAGTTTAAAAGTAGGTGTGAAGGCAGTTTTATTGTAATTTACATGTATACTTGTTGATGTTTTATAAAATAGCCTAGTGGAGAGATGCTCCAAATTTTGTACCTGCCACCCATCTAATCACTTGCTGCTTTTGATAGATGATGTTTTGATAGATGATCCTATTATACCAATTCCTCTTTCAAGTAGAGCTTTCAAGCCAGGAAGTAAGTCCCTAATATATGAAGTTGTTTCCACACTGGGAACATATTTATAATGTTCACCTAGTTGTAATTGTCATCCTCAACCATTACCCATTAAGTTAGTATATTGTAGTAACTCATAGTTCTAAATAAAGTACAAACCATGGAACAGCTTCTGTTCCCTAGCATAAGGGGGAAAACAGGATGCTATAGCTGGAATATTGTATCTCTC